AGAAGAGAAAATAGATGTGAGATAGAATGCTGTGAAAAACAATGGTATGAAGCTTGTCATGATGCCATAATCTGTGTTTTTTTTTATAACCAGAACAATAGAGTAAACTCCGCGAGTTGTCCAATCGTAACGCTGCGACATTTTTGACACAGTAATTTGAACTTTTATCAAAAAGTGTAAGAGCTAGAAACTTCGTTCTTGCGCTATTCAACGCAGCTCACCATACTCTACTTTTGCTATGAGAATGAAGATATGTGGTTACAAACTTGAACTTTTAGAACCGGTTTTCGGCGCGTGACGCTGTGACAAAAAAAGGCCCTAAATTCAAAGTTCTTCTCATTAAAAGCTAATTTGCTGCGAATTTAGAAGAGCTAATAAAAAGCGTCTCGAGCAAAGTTTGTGGAGAAGTAAACGAGCTGCTGCTTGCTAGAAAAGAATCTTTCCAATGAGCTTTCCATCTCTCAATAATTGTGTTTTATCGTCGTGACGCTGTGACACATGTTTTTCCCAACAAAGTTTGGAGCACTAAACGTTGCATTTCATTTTCACATCGGACTTAGTTTTAGGCATCTAATATAGACTAACGTGAAAATGAAGCTGAAAAAATGTTTTCACTTTCTTAGAATTGTGTGAGAATCTTAAAACTTAAAACGTTATTAGAAAGCTTGTTCTAAGTCTAAACTTCAAAAGAAACATACCATCTTGTTCAGAATCGAATTCTCTATCGATTAGTGTGGCCTTCCATTCTTATTAGGAAAAGTGTCTAGGTGAGGAAATTGAGATGAAAATACAGTTTTCAAAAAATGTAAAACTGGATTTATGGTGCCAAAATTTAACTTTTAAAAAACAATAATGTGAGATACGTAATCAGCACCAAAAACTGCATCTAGTGATATGCTCCTTTCAGTTCTACCGTAAAATAATTTTTCAAAAACTTGATCAGCCAAGTATCAAGTTACGTGGACAAGCCGTCCGGTAGTTTCTCTTAATACTTTTGAAGTTCTTGTTTTCAACTAAACCAGTTATTTCTACAAAAAAGAAGGAAGAAGAAAACAAGGTTTGAGATGTTAAAGACGTATATACTAGTAATATTGTTTTGAAAAAAATAAGCAGTAACCCACCATTAAACTGATAATAACTCAATACTAAAGCATTTTCTATTCTTGAAATGTATGGTATTAATTAAGAAATCTTGTTCGCGATAGAGAACAAGATTTCAGAAAGAACAATTACTATTTTATGGCGTCCATCATGTTTATATTATTGTTAAACTTTACAAATACGTATGTTTTAATTATTTCAACGTTTTTCCATTCATATTGTTTTAGGAGTAAATTGATCAAACAATATTATCTCTCACATAAATACTAACCTCCTTTATCTAATGTTTCTAATTGAAAAATAAAAATTTGAAAGTCCTGTCTTTTTTATTTTACGTTTATAGGAATCTCATATCACGTATAGAAGAGAATTATATAGTACATTTCGTTTCATTTCAGAACCAGCTACGTGTATAACAAATTCATCTTCCAATATAACTTTTATTCCACGTGCAGCAAGCGAAAAATGCAAAGAAATAACTTACAACTCCAAAAACAAATGTTAAAAGTAAAAATTACCGAAGAAGGCTACTAGAGCTATACACAAAGTTCAAAACAATAAACTTTGACTTACATTTTTTTTGTAGGTACAACTGTTTATGATTCCTATGATGATGGTCGAAAATTATTAGTTCTAGTCCTTCATTATCTATTGTTCTTGGTTTTATGCTAAATTCTGAATTAATTTCAAACAAATGTTTTTCTTTTAACTTATTGTGAAGAAAGTACACAATTTCGTGAACGCCATTATAATACTAATTCTACAGTTTTGCTAGATTTTAAGAAGAGCTCAGAATGTAAAAATGCTCCAACAACAACATCAGGAACAACAGCTGAAGAAACTCAAAATCAAGTGTTAAAATCCAAAAGTAAAAGTAAACGTTTATCACATGAAAATAATATTATAAAACTACGGCAAATTGGTCGCTCAATTACAAATTTTATCAAATGAAAAACATTTAGCATTAAGTGATAAAATTATGAATTATTCTGAATTATTTTGTAACGAAGAATGGTTACTATGACGATTACATTTTTTTTCTACTTGGTCGAATCTAATTGAGACCTTTCCTACAGGACTATGTCCAGGATTCTTATAAGAGAAACGGTTATTAGTCGAAAGAAGCTCCTGCAAAGAAAAAATTAGGTACAAAACATATTCTGTCAAAGGCTTTGCAGTCAGATTCCGCAAGGCTTTTTTTTATGCAGTTGCTGCTATTTATCTCCGTGCGGATTTTTTCTTTTATTGCTTGAATAGTCGTTGTTGGTTCAATTTAATATTCAAAATGTTGATGATGAAATAGAAAAATTTTGAGTGATCATGTATAGAATAATTGAATTAGAAAATATTCCAACAACAACAAGTTTAAGCTCTTTGTTCGAATACTAAATTTATCCAATGAGAATAGTTCAATTTATTACTTTTTGTTTATTTAATAAAGTGAAATGGATTTTCAAGCAATAAACTTGTGCTGCAAACTTAATTGTGCACAAGTTGTTTTTAAGGTAAACCATTTCACAACCATTGTGAAAACATTGCAGTTTATGACAAATTTCACTATTCTTCAAATAATATTGGTATTTCGTTAATATCAACAAAATCTCAATTTGAAAAGGGAACCATTATATTATCAGCTGCTAAAATTACAATGGATAGCAATACAAGTGGTTTAGAAAAAACGATTCTTACATTTATTGCAGCATGATGAATATAACAGTGATTGTATGAGAATTATAAGTTTATTTATAACGGGTAATTTAAAAACATATCCACTAATTATTATGAATGCATAACAACATTAAAATTACACAATAAGGAATAAGAACAGTTTCGTTTTATAGAGTAGGTTGCGATAATTCCGATCAGTGCATAAAATTTGTGTAGTATTTTTGTTGCCATAAAACTATTTTAGAGCAGAAGAAACTACTATTATATGGGTAGATAATCTTAGCTATCTATTCATGTAAAAATGTTCTTAAAATTCATTAGGGATAAGTAGTTTCATAAGTTTTCCAGCACCATGTCGACAACAACTCTCTCACATAAAGTAAGACGAAAAAAAACGGCTTCTGTAAAATTATGCCGATTGTTTTCTGTGTTTACCGAGTGTCTTACACTCAGTAATCGAATTTACCCCCAATTAATTTTTTTCAAAAACTGACGTCTTTCTTTCCACGTATTTTCTCATCAATTAATTAACGAAATGTGATCTCAACTTTCCAAACATATGGTTGAAAAGTACCCAGAATTCTCTACAAGATTAGCTACTTTTTAATTAGAAATAAAATAAAAATTCATCGTTGAGCAAAAGTTGTTTTACTTTGCGCTTACCATTTTAGTAGTGTAGATCGAAATCAGCTCAGATGAGGTAATTCCGATCAGCGGTCGAAATGGTGCTGGAAAACTTATGAAACTACTTAGCCTTAATGAATTTTAAGAACATTTTTACATGAATAGATAGCGAAGATTATCTACCTATGTAATAGCAGTTTCTTCTGTTCTAAAATAGTTTTATGGCATCAAAAATACGGTCTTGGTGGAAAATATCGAAAGGAAAATGTCGATAAAAAAAGAGCAAAACGTCGAAGAGGAAAATGTAGAAGAGCGAAATGCCGAAAAGGAGGAGATTTCTTTCTGTTCCTTGAAAATCACTGAATGAGATATACGTATTATTATCATTAGAACTACTACTGGTTCTCATCAGACGTCCCCAACCTTGTAGTAATTATAGCCACTCGTCGAAAAAGTAAAGTATGCTGAAGTTCAGTATGGCTGCTACGATGAACGCCTCACCCTCACCACCACCCCGGGGACATCAGCCTCAAAGCAATCAGGAAATACAGCAGCTTTTCAACAACGATTTGACACACTCAATGATTGATTTCTCAATAGAGAATTTAATGCAAAACAGCTACTGGCTGGATTATTGTTCTTGATCAGGATAAACGAAAAGTTAGTTCACGATCTATTGGCCCTATCATTTCTTTTCTACTCTCTTTCTCTATGTAGTTTAATAAAATATCTCATTCAGTGATTTTCACGGAACAGAAAGAAATCTCCTCCTTTTCGGCGTTTTCCTTTCAATATTTTCCTTCTTCCATTATCCGCTTTCGACGTTTGCCTTTTCGGCATTTTGCTCTTCTACATTTTCCTCTTCGACGTTTTGCTCTTTTTTTATCGACATTTTCCTTTTCGACATTTTTCCTTTCGATGTTTTCCGTCAACCCCAAAAATACTACAAAAATTTAGTGCACTAATAGAAATTACCGCAACCTACTCTACAAAACTATCCGGTGTTCTTTTTTATTAACCGTATGTCAGGTTTCATACGTTTATGCTCTTAAATAGAATTTGCTTTTGTCTCTTTCTTGTTTATTTTTTTACCTTATATGATCATATACGTAAATTTTTGTGACTTACAATCGAACAGACAAATAAGAAAAGTTTTTATTTTCTCAATTCATGTGTGTTGAAAGATGGTTAAAATTAGTTTTTGAAAAACTCTTGCTAAAAATGTTCTTAATTGTTTTTTTCATGAAAAAAGCTGATATACAATATATTTCGCTCAGTTTAGGTTATAACTTTGTTTATTTACCTACATGTTTTCAAGGTCCCAACCACTGAAGTGACAAATATATGAATGCCTTGAGGTCAAAATGAACGATAGAGACAAAAAAATGTTTCATTATTTTTCTAGAACAAAATGGATCTTTTTGCCTATAATCGAGAGATCTCTTGTCTTCAGTATGATATACGTCTCTTTTTACTATTGGCTTGGCGAAGGTTGATAATGTTTCCTGTTATTAAAGTAAAAACCAGGAAGAGCGAGTGAAAATGTTTCTTCTATCGTCAAGGAATAAGCGGGAAGAGGAGAAAGACAGATATCTGCTGTCATAGTTTTATTCAGTGATAGAAATTCGCTGAGTTTCACATTCTTCAAGTTCAATTTCTATTCGGTGCATTTGTCGGATATTTCGTACTTCCCATACTGAATATGGCAGTATTAATACTTCTTTTTCACCTGAATATGCGGATATTTTCTCAATATCAAGTGCTGTTTGTTGATTTCGAATAATAAATGTACAAATAACGCGTAATTTAAAATTTGGCTGGCAAATAAATCGAAGTGCCACAGCTTCTTCTTTTGTTGTTGATAAAAATGATTTATATAATATACGTATACCAACTTTATATTGATTAAAATCGTGGTCTGTCATATACATACCACGATATGTTTTGCCGGTGAAACGGTATTCATTTAATTTTGGATGATTCATTAATAGTGTAAGAATATAGTTGCGCGCACATTGGCTTTTTTCATCATTAGAATCATAATTAAAATGTTCTCGTGATAGCTGAGTATTTAATATTCTATAAAAATCAGATTCATATGTATATGCTTTTATTATATACGTTGGATCGAGTTCTTTTTCTGCTCTATCAAAAACCTTTAGAATTTTTTGTTTTTCCTCAGATTTAACTAGAATTTTTTCAATATACCATCTTTTTATTCGATCAATAAACATAATAAATTCATCATCTGATTCGATTTCATATTTAAGCTCACGTCTGCGCTCGAAGGCACGTCTTTCGTTGTGCTCCTGTGCTATCGTCCATTCTGTGGGTGAAGTATTGGGAAGATGAGATTGATCTTCGGTTTCAGCTGTTTTTTCACATAAAATTCGAACAAGTTGAGTGTGACCATTACGTTCTGCCACGGCTAAAGCCGAATCATTATTCGATTCAATAGTCATCGTTCAGCTGATGACTATTGCCTTATATTTCGGTTCGTGCTTTCTCTGAGTTTCTGAAAATATTTTTTTCAGATTCAGCATCAAAAACTGAGCCTAGACGAGTTGTTAAATCGGCTTAAGACCCCGACATCTTTTCACAGTGGCAC